ACCCCCCACAGATGTTCAACCCTCCTGATTGCTCACTTTGGTTGGATCCCACCTGTAGGATCTTCCAGGACCCACTGGGCAGAGGAAAAAAAATTCAGTCCTCCTCTTCCTTTCCTGTGCTCCATGATGCTGTTTTCTTTTCCTGTGCTGCTTCTTTCCATAGCTGCCTTCCACTTCAGTCAGGCCAGAGAATCACAGCCTCAGCAGGACCATGGAGCAGGCAAGCTGCAGGGTAAGTGACGAGTAGTAGCAGCAGCAAGGTGCAGTGGGGGAACCTCAGCTGAACCTCCTTCCATCCCTCCAATCACTCACCAAGCCCTATGGGGCCTTTGGCTCCCTAAGGCATGTTTCCAGTACTAATTACTTCCAGCTTTGAGGAAAATCATGGATTGCTGGGGCTGCGACCTGGGGAAGGGACCCAAATTCTAATGGACCTTCCCTGTCCTTGGAGTGAACTTGGGTCCTTAGAGTCCTCAGAGGGATCCACAAAACTCAGTGGAGTACCAGGAACAGATAGGCCTTCCAGAAAATCTCAAGCCTACCTGCTGGATAGACAAAGATAAAACACTGTAAACACCCAGTGTTGATGTGGATGCAGGAAAGCTGGCCCTCAGTTCCTCTGAGAAAACATCTTTTCATATTAAAAGCCACAGATAGACTTTTCTGCCCAGCAATCTAACTTTTGGGAGGACTCCTGTGGTCTATCCAAGAAATGAAAGTTTTAGTACAAGATGTTGTTTGAGGAGGGATATTTATGACAGTAACATTTGCAGGGCCCCAAAGCCAAAACAAAACAAAAAACTTAAAAACCTGTGTGTGCATCAATAGGTAGAAAATTCAATAAATTGTAGTATAGACACTCTAAAACATTGTGTAACTATTTAAAAGAAGAACATGTGGGTTTAGCTATTGATCATGAAGAATTTGGTTGTAAAGAAATACACATCCCATGGGAAAACCCCAAATACCCTCACTATAGATAAATGTTAGCCATAGTGATGTTAGCCTAATGTTAGGTTTATAAACACACACAGAAAGGATACACATCACCCTATTAACACTGTGACTGGTCAGGGGATTAAATTTCTCTCTGTGTGTATCCTTGAATTGCTTTGTTGATCACAGCAATGACTTTTTAAGATTTTCATTTTGGAAGAGGAAATTCTCTACATGGCAGGAATGATTACAGTGGTGAGGAGCAGCTTGCAGAGGAACCCAGAGATGTGGTCTAGGGCAGTAAACATCTGGTCAGAGCCAGATGGGGTGAAGTGATCTGGGGCCATGTTGCTCAGAGGTGTGGACTTCATTCAAGGGTCTTGACCTGGGTATCCTTACAGAAGGTCACAGAGGGGGATGGAGTGTGTGAGTGAACCTGGAGCAAAAGGAATTTAAACTGTAGGACTATAAAGAAAATCTGATGAAAGTATTAAAAGGTATGAGGAGGGTTTCCCTAGAATGTTACTTTGAAGAATTCCGTAAGACCCATCATATTAACTGTAAATCAAGGTGGAAGTTATATTAAGAGCTAGCACTAGGTAATGAGCTGGTTGCAGGAAGGCATTTTATCTCCTTTGAGACCAAGGTACAATCCTATGATAGAGAGAAGTATGACTGTATGGAGTTTACTGAAGAGGAAACTGAGCTCCAGGGATTCAGCAACACTGCCCAAGTTTACCAGGGCTGCTTGGGCTTCAGAGTTCTGAGTCCCAGTTCCTGGAAGTCATACTAAAGGGGACTACCCTCCAGGGCACTAATCTGAATGAATGTTGCATTCTTTCCACCACTAAGGCTCAGCAGCATGAAGAGCCTTCAGGGCATTCCAGGGGAGAACCTGGCCAACTTCCTTACTCTGCTCAATTTGGGAAAGTAGGGCAGGATCCCAGCTCCAGCTTTATGAAGTGCCAGGCTTCCTGGGGACTTGCTGAGGACCTGGGGTGCAGATAGGAGAGTGAATGGGGTGGGGTCTTCTTTGAGGCTATACAGCTGGTGAACTCATTGCTCCTATCCACCCTGCCTCATCACCTCCATCTCAGGGAAAAACCAGCACTTGAAATCTCTTTGGTAGGTGTTCTGAGCAAGGTAAAAGTAGGAGCTATGATCTTTCCCTCCTAGGTCCATGGGCTGGAGTCCTGACTGTTCCGGATAAGCACCCCCCATCCAAGACCAGGTGGGCATCACCAGGATGTCCAGCTTGGTGTCTGGAGGGGCGTGGTGGAGGGACACTAGGATGTTGGAAGACCTTCCCAGAAACCTCTGCGGGGATTTGAGGCACGTCCAGAAAAGGAGAAATGTTTCCCTTAGATATTGCCGGTCCTAACCGATTTCCTAGGGGTGGCTTTGGTCGGACACAGCTGGCTGCAGGCAGTGAGTCTTGGTTCCCACTGGCTGGGCCTGCCCAGAGAGAAAAGTGCCCTTGTCCTGTGTCAGGGCCTTTGGGAGTGAAAAATCTGTTTACTCTTGATGAATGAAAGGCTCTCTGGATCCGCAGAAAAAAATCTGTGTGGGTCCCTGTGCCCATTTGCATCAGGGAGCACCCTGAATGAAGTCCCTGTTCAACCTGTTTCTCCCCCCATGCGGGTCTCTCCATCCCGAATTCCCTCATCATCCCCTTCCATATTTCACAAATTGCTTCCCTCTCCCCTCTCTGCTTATTTCTACTTCTGAATCTGTTCCACCCACTTTTCCCTGAGTTCCCATTTCCCGCGCTGGCGTGACCTTCTCGGTCTCTGGCCTGCCTCTTTTCCTACCATACTCCCTTCTATGGTCCCTGAAGTTCTTGACTGAGGTTGAGGCTCCCAAAATGGACTTTCTGACAATTTCAAGAGGGTTACCTGATTTGACAGTCAAGTGAAATTGGCTGCCTTGAACTCAGCCTGGAATGGGGCAAAGGAAGTCCTCTTCAAGGATTCAAAGCCAGCTTGAATGGGCCACGTGGAGAGGCGGCGGCTAAAGAGCCGGTGAGGTGAGGATGCTCGGGTCATGTGGAGATAGGTGTGCCTAGGTTTTTGCTGCCCACTCAGCCTTCTCAATCACAGAGACAAACGCTCTCTGATTGATACCACCTCCCAGAACTGGCAGCCGGAATTTACGAATTGCGCCTTAAAACACTAACTAGCATATGGAGATGTCATCATGATTAAACAGCACGATAGTCGAAGATGGGACGATAATAATTTAAACAATCACAAAGAAGCGTTATCTAAGGAGCCAGACCCAGAAGCTTGCGTCTGGAAGACTCTCGGTGTTCCTAGAGATCTCTCCAAGATCGAGGTCCCTGGACTCTGCAAGGCGAGGTCCCGTAGGTAGGCAGAAGGGACCCAGTGTTGGAGAACCCTTCCAGAACAGGAAGTCGGAAGCACAGTAAAAGTTGGGGTCCCTGAAAGTGAACACAGTAAGCAGCCTAGCCGGCCCTCCATTCCCCGCCCCCTCCCGTGTGTCCCCTCCCACAGTCTCGCCTTCCTAGATCTTTGTGGAGGCTGGTCTGGATTCCAAGTGGGCTGTGAGAGGAGGAATGACTCCTGCATTCGCTATCTCTGCATTTCCCCGCAAGCCAGAGCAGAACTGAGCACTTCACACCCGCAAGACTGTAGCTCCTGGCGGGACTCAATTTGCAAAGCCAAAAGATTCCCCGGCAGCTCGCAGTTATGGCAAAATAAGAGCGGAGGAGACCCTCCCTCTTTCTCCTTGTTCCCTTCCCTCTCGTTAAATAGATTCGTTTTTGAGACAGGCTCAGATATTTTCATCTGACTTCCAGGGGTTGAACTTAGGTCGATCGTCTTAATATTTAGACTGTAATACCCATCCAAAGGAAAAGAACAAATCCATAAATCCGGGGTGACCGCCCCGCCCGGGCAGCAGGGTCTCTTTTGGTTTGGGCTGAGATCCTGATGGAAGGAAAAGGGGGCTGGGGAGCTGGCAGTGGGTGGGAAAGCTGTGTTCCCCAGAGTGGCCCCGCGCGGCGCGTGCGTGAACCGGAGCCGGTAATGTATGCTGCCATTAAAAATTGGAGCGGCTTCCAGCGCTCGGGGCTCAAGGACGCATGTGTTGCTGGAATTCAATCCGTGGGGGGAATGCAGATGGGGCTGCGACCCACTGGGTTTGATTTATGAACTGTTACACCAGCGATTGTTTACACATTGCATTTCAGAGCCTTGGCGCACCCTCCCCGCGGCGGGCGGCGGGTTGCTGGGTGCGGGAACCTGCTTCAGCCCCGGGGTCTGCGTACATCCTTCTCTCGCCCCTCCACATTCCCCGGGGAGCCCCCGGGAGCTCCCGCCCATCCCTGCCTTCAGTGAAATCCGATTTCGGTTTCATTGAGCCCACAGGCTGTAGTGCTGCCTCCCCTCACCCCCTCAGCCTACTCCACGTCTGCAGACCCCAGGCCTGAGTCTTCTCTGTCGGTGTTTATTCTAGAATGTTTACTTCTCAGTAAGGCCATGCGGAGCCTATAAATACGGAAGCAGCTCGACTGGCAGATCAATAGGGCCCCCGTCTCCTCGCCATTTCAACTGAGCTGTCTTATTAATTATGAAAGAATTCACCTGATCCCCGCCAGCAAACGCAGCCTCTCGGCCCCTCTGCAGGAGCCCTTAATGGCGGTTCCTTCTCGAGCTGCCTCTAGCCACCAGAGAGGAAGAGGCGGGTGGCGGTTAAGGCCCGACCTGCAGGGATGGTGGTTAAGGGCTTAGACTCATCTGGGGCGTGGGCGGCGGGCTGACCACCGGCTTTGCGTAAACCGGGTTCTCCGTTGTACACAGGAAGGGCCTCTGCTTTCGAATTAATTTTAAAACGACTCCCTTTTATTTTCCCTAGTAAGCCGAATTTAGGGGACATGGCCACCTGCCCTAGGCGATGAGGGTCGGCTTGAAGACAGCAGGTCATCCAGTCACTTTATGAACAGGTGGATTTATCACCAGGCACCGTGTGTTTCTTTAAATAGCCCGAAACTCGGCTTGGCGGAGGAAACAGGCTTGGGGTTAGGAAACAAAACGACACCCCCATTTCAAACAATAACTTTTATTTTAGACTTCTCTATACTTTGTAGCAAATTTTTTTGCTGAATTTAATTTATAATAAACTTTTTAAAGTACATCTCTCTCTGTTTTAAAATCAAGGCTCTTTTATGTCAAAATCTGTTTTTAACTATATTTTAGATTAACATTTAACACCCCCCCTTGTGATCTATACCATTGGATATTCAGGTATTACTGTATGTGGAACAGCTATAAAGAGAGAGGAGGGAAAATAAAGACAGTGGACCTGAAGGATGCATGACAATTGCAGGCGAAGCCAGCCCCTCAGTGACCATAGCAGCGTTTCCTCTGACAGTTTCCACTTAACCCAGAGTTACCCAACCCCTTTTTCTCTCTTCCCTCTTATCCTTAAAATGCAAAGCCCACGATCTGTGCTTTCACTTTCCTGGAGGAGAAATGTGCAGTGGAAATGATCAAAACAAGGTACTGTGGAAGAAAGACGTGAGCGGGAATGTCACCATATGCTTTCCACGTGGACATCCCTCTTGGATTCATTCCCCTGGCCTTCTCCTCTCTTGGCTTTCCTATTAGGAGGAGCCCATCATTTTTCATGTTATTAACATGATTAATATAGTAGGTGGCCCAGGGCCGTTCCTGAGATTCTTTTGCCAAAACAATGAAAAAAAATTAAAAATGGGTGAGTTTGCCGTTTTCTTATTTTTGTGTGAAGACGGACTAAAGCTGAGGTCCGGATTTGGCTGTGCTTGCTCGCTTACTGATCGGTAACATTTGGCAAATAAAACACAAAGAATCAAATGAAATAAAAAAGAGAATCAGGATTTCCCACAATCCCATATGAGTGTTTTCAGCATCACAGAGAATCACAACGTCCCCAAAGAACGAATGGATCTTCCTCTCGGTTTCCGGGAGCATGAAGTGACTGTGGGTGGGCACATGGGGGTGGGGGGAGCTGGCCCCGCGCTCAGAAGGAAAGCCAGGTCGCTAAAGCTGCCGAGAGAGACACCAGGAGCATGGGGAGCGCCGGGAGCAGGGACCCCGCCGCCCGGTTGCCGCTGCTGCAGAGTTCGAATAAGCTGCCTTGGATGTTGAGGTTTTTGGATTCTTTTCTCAGTTTATCCCACATATCTTTCGCCCCTTCCTGGCAATCCGTAAGAGCTGTGACCGTGCAGCTGTGGAAATCCTCCCAGTATCTGGCGAGGAACAGAACAAAACACAAGAAGCAGGTTCATTTGGGGCGCGGGAGGACCCTGGCTCTGCATCCACGCCATCCTCCCAGGGTGCTCCTCCCTACTCGCCTCCTCCCCCCCCCACCCCCCATCCCTGGGCCTGGACACTGGATCGTCGGTACCCCTCCGGGGACTAGAGCCCATTCCCGAGACGCTGATGGGGGAAGTGGGCCTCTCCTTCCCGGGTCCGGTTTCCCTAGTGCAGTGCCAGGAGGGGACTTGACAGCCAGCAGCCGGGTAGCACCCGCTGCGTGGTGCTGGCACCACGGCCCGCGAAAACAGATTGCACGCCCTCCTCCGGGAAAGCTAGGAAAACAGCGCTAAGCCTTGCAAGCTGCGGCCCATTAATGCCTCTAAGCTTGCAAGATGGGTGACTTGCTTGGAGCACGGCCCTCCCCCTCCAGGGTTCTCACACTCTCCTCCCCATCGCCCCTTCTGTTCCGCTCCTCCCCACTCCACGGTCCTTTTCCCCAGCGCCCTCACTCTCTCCCTCCACCCCGCCCCCACTTTCCTTTTGTTTCCCGTTTCTCCTCTTTTCCCCTTTCTTTTTCTCTTCCCTCCGTTTTCCTCCTTCCGCCCCCCCCCCCCGCGTGCTTCGGTCCTCCGAGACCCTCCGGTCTTTCTTTCCACAGTCCCAGCGCTAAGGATGGCATCGGGAGACCCCAGCCTGCCCGCTCTTCCTCTCGGGGTTGGTGAGTGTTAAGTGCGGAGGCCGGTTCTTGAACCTCTAGTTTTCCGCAAACCCCAGTGCTACAGGCCTGGGAACTGGGTGCTTCCTCCTCCCTCCTCCCTAGCCTTTTTTCACAGGTTTGGATCCCAGACGTTCCTGCTCTAGACCTCCAGGAGAAGTAGCACCCACTTCTCCAGGTCGAGATTCCGGAGCCGGCACAGAAGCCGCCAATGCAATTTCCTCAAGGGTCTGATTCCGCATCCCAGGTCGGGTCCAGAAACTGGCGCAGAATTCAGCCTCTTCTCTTCCCCCGCCCAGCTCCTAGCCCCGCCCCCACAACCTTCACCCAACCTTTTCTTTTCTTTCATTTTTTTTTTTTTTTTTTTTTTTTTTTTTATAATTGTCATCCTTTCTTCTGGAAACCCAAAATAGATCCCGGAACTAAATATAATCCCGAACCATGATCGATTCTTGAGACGCTGTCTCCTGTAGGAGCTGGGTCGATCTGTGCGTCTCAGTCTGGGGCTGACTCCCACCTCACCCCAGTCCAGGTCAAGAGCAGCTGCACTCCAAACAATCTGGGTGTCTTTTTTTCTGCTCTCTCCTTTCTGTTCCTTTGCCTGATTGTAAGTTTGTTGAAGGCAAGCTTATCCTTTGTTTCCAACCGGGGCTTTAGGCTGATAGCAAGTTATAAATGCTTGTTGGATTGCCAGGAGCTCTGGGTGCCTACTAGTGATCTCTCTGAATCTCCGATTTATAAGGGCTGGGGAACCTGGGCACAGGACTTTCAGGTTCCACAATTTGTAATAAATTCCAAGATTTAGAGACACCACAAGGCCCAAGGGGCAGTTCCCCTGAAGAGTTCCAAAGTAATTGCACCTCAAAAACAGAGGATGTATAAATTACTCCTTTCTTTAGGTATTCCTTCTGAAACAGGCAAAGAACATTCACCTGGGGATGGAAGAGATGAGCTTCATCCTACTGAGCCATTGGCACTATTAGTAGGACCTGGACCTTAGTCCTGTTAGAAAATTAAAATGGCTAAGAATAAGCCAAGTTCTAGCAAACAATGGATTTGGAAGTTGCTCTGTTTGTAATCTTGTCATGTCTTACAGATTCATTCTTATAAAGTATTTGGAAGTAAACACTTTTTTGGGGTTCCTTTCATAATTGCAAGGCACTAGCCATTTAATTGCTGGCATTCCTAGTGAGGTGTTTAGGAAAGTCGATAGCAAGATAGAGCCTTCCGTTGTTTGGTCACAATTTAAATAAGAACCCCTCTCCCCCATCTAGGAGGAGATGAAGGATCACACATGCCCAAAGGATGATGTGGGAAATGGGCATCTCAAACTCTGTGAAGAAGGGCTATTGTGGGAGTGGTAGAATAGTGCTGTTTTAAAAATAAAAGAGATTGTGTGTTATAGAAAATGAGGGTGCTTCTAAGGCCTGCAGCAGTCAGACTGCGCAAGTCGACTGCAGTGGGGCTCTGCCGGACACCTCATTTACTAGTGAATGCAGGCTTTTTAGCTAAACTCAGAAAATACCACTGCCTGGCCATGAAGTCCTCCTCTCTCTTGGGCCTGCAACTGCCCAGATCTTGAGAGATCATGCAGATATTGGAAGGGGGAGGATGCTGGGTGAAAGGAGGGTGGTTATCCCAAACCTGAGAATGGATTACAAACTCAGCAGAGCACCCCCACAACACACACACTGCAAAGTCCTTAACACATATCAGTTCAGACTTTCTCCCAGAAAGAGGGAGACCTGCGCCCCCTTCCTGTGCTTGCATTTTCTTTGTATGCATTGGAGGGACTTTCCTTTTAGGTGAATTTAGTATTGCCCCAAACTCTCCTCAAACCCAAGCGGATTGTTCAGATTACTAGGCAGGCCAGCCATTCACAGAAGAGGAATGGCTGGAGGTTTTCTCAAAACAATTCTTTAGGATGAGGAGCTAGGGGAAGGCTGCCTTGCCACTCACCCCCAGTCCTTGGGTGTTGGTTACTTGCACCTCAGTGTGGGCCTGTGAGGCTGAGAGGCTGAGAGGCTAGTGTGGGAAGATCCTCCTCTGAAGCCCAGACCAGGCTGTGGAATCCCCTTAGGCAGAGCGAATTCTAACCCAGAGGCCTGGGCCTCTTGGCCAGAGAGCTTGTCAGCAGGCCTTGGCCTGGGGGTAGAAGCCAGAAGGCAGGAAGGCATAGATTTGTCCTGGCAGGAAAAGTTGAGCACAGGGCATGGGGTGGAGGAGGTGAGAGATGGCAGGGTACTATCTGACTTCAGCAGCAACCCCCAAAAGGAAACCCAGTGGGTCAGAGAGGACACTTACGTGCACACAGTCTTGATGTTGGTGTTGTCATCCAGGCCCTGCGGGTAGTTAGCCATACTGTCGCCCAGCTTGAGCAAACAGTCTGAAAAGCCCTTAAAGACTGCATCGCACTTGCCTGCTGCTCTCACAGCCTGCACCAGGTAAGCTGTAGGGGAGGAGGGGACAACTGTCAGCAGCTCTGCCACTGAGCACAGAGACCTCGCACCATTCCCTGACCCCGGTGGGCTCAGGGCCTGGTCCCTTGGGTGGTCTCACCAATGGTCAGGCATTCTGGAACAGGTTAAAGGTGAATGGAAGCCCTGGCCATGGAATGACCTATTTGCACCCAGCGCACCTCTGGTGCAGATGGAGGGAGCGTAGGCGGGTGTAGGTGGGTGGCAGGGTGAGTCCTTTCCTTTCCTCCAGCTCGCTCCCAACTGCCTGGTATCTTTTTCTGTTTTCATCGCCCCCTCTTCTCACCTCCCTCATCTCCTTTAATACTCTTTTTCTTCACTCCCTCCTTCGTCTCCCAACACTTCCCCCAGCAAACCCAGTCACGTCTCTGGCGGTGCAATCTTCCATTTCTGTGGTAACAGAGGGGGGTCTGGGCAGCAGGCTGTGTGGGGGTCGAAAATGGCTCTGAGAGGCACGGGGAGGCCAGGGCTTTGCCACTGAACCCACGCCACACCCCCACCCTCGAGTAGGAGTCAGGTGGTGCTGTCTTTGGTGGACGCTGGGCAAATGTTGCTTAATGAATGAATTGAATAGTCTTTGGAAGACCGCAGGGGCCACAGGAACGGCATATTTATTATAAAAACCGATTGCTTAGTGTTTTGTCTTTGAGATCTTTGCGTGCACAGCTCTCTGTCGTGCGGAAAGAGGGTAGTTTGGATGTGCCAAGACATAGCTAGGGTGAGGATTGGTCCCAGGGGTCAAGGCTAGAGGCTGGCCTGTGTGTTGTGCGCCTCTGCCAGGAGTGTGTGTGTGTGTGTGTGTGTGTGTGTGTGTGTGTGTGTGTGTGTGTGTGTGTGTGTGTGTGTGTTGGGGGGTGAGGAGGGGTTCGGCTTCCTTCGCTTTCCTTCCCTACATCTCTCACTTCTGAAGACCCCCACCAGATCAGACCTTTGCTCTCCAGATTGCAGCTTGGCTGCTAGGCGCCCAGCCCGCTGCCGCCAGGGGCTCAAGGAAGACTCTGGTTCTTGGCTCCTGTGAGAGGGTGAGGGTTGGAGACGGTAGAAACTGGGGCCCAGGGAAAAGAAGGAGGAAGAAGGAAAAATCCGAGGCCAAACGGAGATCCTAGCTCCCAAACTCAAGTCAGCGAAGCCCAGAGGCACTGGACTAAAGAGCTAGGTTCCAGGCCGGCTGGTGCAGCGCGAGGGCTATTCTTTCTACCCCGAAGCCAACGAACAGAGTTAGAGATTGGCAAACAGCGATCCAAAGGCCCAAAGCACCTGGGGTACCTCTAAGGGCTAGAGAGAGGCGCAAACCTTCGCTGTTGGGGCGGGGAAAGGAGAAAGGAGAATTTCTCAACGGAAATCGGCCTGCAGTTTCGGGGACTCGGAGCGTAGACCTCTTCCTCTGCAAACGCTCTGCGGCTCCCTTGTGAACGTCTCCCGGAAAAACAGAACACCCAGCACCCCCAGTTTCACGCAGCCACCTGTCCCTGAATGCCAAGCTAATGCAGACCCGGGGGAAGGTGACCCGGTCAGCCGCTGCAGCCTCTGGGAGCGCGCCGTTAGCAGATGACTTCAGGAAGAGCTAGGCGGGACTAGTGCCTTCTACTCCGGAACGGGAAGCAATGGGGAAGGGACCAAGGTTAACTTCCACCTCAGCTGGGGCAGACACATAACCTTTCCTGGATCTCCTGGTTTCCTTTACACACAATTTTAAACACCCTTGCACTGCGATAAAAGCCAATCAAACGCTGACATAAGATTTTATAATAGTAAATTAGTCTTTGCTCTACCAGAATTCAATGAAAGAAACCCTACACAGCTACCTTTAGAATACATGTTACAAATCTGCCTTTGTAACAGAATGCAACCCACCTTCGTCTGTCCCAGGCTTCTCCTCGCCTCTGACCTCCACCCCCAAGGCTCCGTGTCAGAAAAGCAGACCCAGGGATGTTTTGATGATTTTTTTATACGGGGAGTTGGGGCTCTCCGGGGGCGGGAAGAGCTTTTGTCGTGTTATCTTCCCTGGCGCTTGCAGAAGACCCTGCACAGCGCGCATGTCTGAGTGTGTGCGTGTGTAAAATACGAAGTCATGAACATTTCTGTATTTTGCAACTGTGACTTCTTGAGCTCTACCCTGAATTGGAAGACTGGAGGCAAAGTGCGGGACAGATGTGGCAGGCGCACAAGCCCCTGTGCATGTCGCAGCCTGCAAGACCCTCTCAGTTTTTTCCTGAACCCAGTTTCTGCAAACCCTGGACAGCCAACCCAGACCTAAGCACCCCTGTCCTCTTTCCCGTCCCAACCTAGTGCGGTATCCATTTGTTCATTCAGTCACTTGACCTCTCATTCATTCCAAACTTCCTCCCTAGGCATCTTCATTCGGTTCACCACCCTCCCCACTTCCCCACCCCTCCCCAACCCCCACTTTTCTTGCCAAATTTCAGTGATCTGGGACAGCTCCCATCCATGAATCAATAAAGACTGAGGCTCTGATGCAGGAAAGGGTAGACATTTGGGACCATATAAATTTCAGTTACAGTGCCAAGAAATGGTCATTTTCAGGCTGAGGTTGATGTGTTCAAAATGAATCCCCAATGCACAATCAGTGTTTCATTATTTTATATGTTCACCCACCAGGAAAACATAGACCCATACATCCTCCAGGTGCCATCCCTATATGTTGTCTCCTGCTCTAGAAGAATTTACAGGCTAACTGCAAAATGTCACACTCACTGATTTCCAATATTTGAAGAATTCATAGCCCTTGGAAGCTGTCTTCCTATGTTTACTGCATTTCTTGGAACTAAAAGTCAAAGGTGCAAAACAGCCAGATGCAAAACATTAAGTCATGCCCTAGAATTAAAAGAAAAGCCAGCATCTCCCAGGTATCTTCCCAGGCTCGCAAAGTCCCTGTTTTTGTAAACAAACAAACAAACAAACAAACAAACTCACCAAAATTAAGCCCTCAAAAGCAAGTCAAAGGCACAAGAACCCCAATGCACAGAATAGATTCTAGTGTCTTAGGAACTACAAACCCCATTTCCTCTACACTTCTTAGGAAGAAAAATGTTAAGCCTTCCTTCTCTTGACCTACACGAATTCCTTGAAGCACCTCTCAAATAATGCCAGGATTTGTCTCCAAAGAATGCTACACCCTGACATGAAAGGCGGACCAGTTCCCTCCAGCCGGTTTGAAGAGTTTCTATTTTTTTCTCTTGTCCATTCTATTAATAAACTGCTTTACTTTCACTTTTAGGCTACATTAATTAATATTCCCAGCCACCATCAAATAAACGGATTTTCTAGTACTTCTTCCATAACATCTTCTGCATTTTTGAACGGAGAGAAATTATGAACTTTAAAAAAAAAAAAAAACCCTCGGACAGTGTCACTGAGATTCAACATTCCTTAACATAAAATGGGGCTAAATAAATCTGTCCATATTCCACCGCAAACAAAAATAACACTTTGTAACCCTTTCTTGCATAAAAAATTACAGATACTGATGTGTAAAGTATCTATACGTGCCTGAAAAAGTCTATCGTAGCATATTTGACAGATTTCACCTTCTTAGCCCGGTCTGCGGTGCCGGGAGCAAACGCTGCAGCTAGGATATGGGGGAGGGGCGGGAGAAGGACAAAGTTGTAAATGCAGCAGTTTGAGGGCAGCCTTAGAATAGCTTTGCTTTCTGCACATAAACTTTTCAGATCTAGCTTCCTAGCTGTCTTGTTCCTCCATTCAACCATTCGACCCCTCAAAATAATATCTTGCAATATAATAGGGGCCAAATGCCCCGGGTGCACCGAACTCGTTTTTACCTAGAGAGGGAAGCAAAAATGGATGTGCGCTTTGCAGAAACAGGGGAAAGCCCCTCTAGAAAACGGCGGGCTGTACTTACTTCCCCGCTGGAGTCTGTCTTTAAGAAAACCAAACTGGGACGCCCGAGTCTCCCGGAGCCAATGCTCCCACCCTGGGGGTCTGCAGGGTGTTCTGCACCCCAGGCGGCCGACCTGCCAGTTGTCCCCTTTCTAGTCTGGAACTGGCAGTCTCCCGTCGCCCTTCTAGCGTCGGACCCGCCGGCCACTTACCTATTTGCACCGCGAGGATCAGTGAGATATATCTGCCGTTCAACTTAAGTCCCATCCTACGTTTAGTCAAACCATTTGCGACTGCAGACCTTTAAATAGTTAGTTTAGAGAACGCGGGGGAAAGCTGAAAAATAGGCATTGCCAACAAGTTCCGGGAGCGACGGAGACTTTATGCACTGGGAAGGCAGAGGGAGGAGAGAAAGAGAGGGAGCGAGGAAGAGACGGAGAGAGAGAGAGAGAGGTGAGATGACAGAACATCATGGAAAAAGGACACGGCAGAGCAAACCCTTCATGTCATGAGAGAGAGAGAGAGAGAGAGAGAGAGAGAGAGAGAGAGAGGCTGAGAGAGAGGGGGAAGAGCTGGGAATGGTTCACTCCATTAAGAGGGGGCGGAGGAAGTACAGCCTCACGCCCACGAGCAGGCCTGACGTGGGGGATGACACGGATTGATTTTTTTTTTTAATATAGACACCTTGGTAGAGATTCGCCATTTATAGGCATAAGAAACTGGAATTAATCAGATAGTTCCAATTAATGCGCGATCGCAACGAAATCTCGCCTTTGCGGGGGTGAGCGCTTCCCCAGCCCTGCGGCCACCCGCGCCTCCGCGTTCCAGGGGTCCCCCAGCCCCGCCCCCTCCCTGCGCAGAACCGGGGCTCCCTCTCCCCTCCCCGCCTGGAGCTGGGGAGTCCTGGCGCGCCCACTCGATTGTTCAACCTGCTCCCCCTCCTACTCTAGCGCCTGCAAATCCAGCCCATTTCCTACTGGCTGCGAGGTTTACGGGAGCTCCCGCCCGGAGGGGAGCGCCTTTGAGCCTACTTCCAAGGCCCCGCGGCCTGCGGACCCCACACTCGCCTACCCTCTTCCTCCAGCCTGAGAGCACACCGCCAGGCTCCCCGATCCCGGCCCTGCGCACACACGTACAGGCGCACGCCCGCCACCGAGCCAAGCGCCCCCGTGCCCGCCTGCAGACCCTGCACGCGAGCGCGCGTCCACGCCCAGGCTCCGGGGGTTTGTTCCTCACATATCCGGCCCCTGAAATAGGCTATGCATGCCCTCTTTGAGTCTCACCACCCGCGACGCCCGCACATGGGCGACAGGCCGCTTTACGGGATGCAGAGACACCTATTTGGGTTGGGGGAGGCACCCGGGACTGAACCTCTACTGAGGCAGTTTTCAGATACTAACTCTTAGAGTTTTAGGAAATTTCCAAGGCCGGTGCTATTGTGCAAGCTTCTTTCTGTGAGTCTCTTGGGACATTTGTTGGGCTGCACTTACATGTACACACACACACGCACACACGTACATCACGTACACACACGCACACCCGGACCCACACACACCTGCACTGTTTTTGATGATCTAGCACAGACCTTGTGTAGACACAACCCACTCTGCAAGGAAATGTTTCTTCAGCTGTGTTTGTACAGAATGCTACAGTAGGTAGATTTAAGACTGAAAAATAATCGGGGTTACTTCCTAAACGCAATTAAGTTTTGATTTTTCTCTCATTTTTCTGCAGTGCACCACGCCCTCCTCCCCAGCCAAGATTTTCTTAAATGTTGAAGGCCGCGTTGGCTAACTTTATTACTTAAGCCTATGTAGAGATAAACGAAAAGAAAGAGGAAATAAAAGAACCTTCGTGTCTTGCAAAACTGTGGGTGATATTAGGATTTCGAATGAGCAGAAATGCAAACGGATTAAGGAGAAAGGGCGTTCTTTCGTGTTTGCCTCCCCTGGCCGGTGCGCTGGGAGCCTATCGCGTCCCCATTCGCCACCAACTGCGGACACCCGGACTGAGAAAGGAAAAAAAGGTGCAAAACTGGGGCCGGGTGTTGGGCCTGGGAGGGTGAGGGGCTGAGGGCCGGGGGTCCTGACTGGAGCACTGATTCAGGAGGCACCTGCATCTGGCGGTCGTTTCCCCGCATTCCATGGGGACCGCAGACTCCCCTGCCTCCCCCTCCCCGGGCCGGGGACCAGGCCACATAACCCCGCCCCCGGTGATGTCACCGGCAGGTGGGCGGGGCGGCAGGGGGCTCGCCTTCCCGACGTCCAGGGGCTCTGTTGGCGGCACCGGGAGTTTCCTTCCCGGCCCTCCGAGGCTCACAGAAAAGCTAAAAAAGTGGGCGGGCAGGAGGCGGGGCGAGGACGGGTGGCGAGAGGGGGGCGTCCCTCGGACCTGCCCCCTGCCCCCTCCAATGGCAGAAGGGAGGTTGGCCCGTGGGCGGGGCCTCTTGGATGGCAGTCCCGCCCCTGTATCGCCCCGCCCCTCGAGGTCCGGAGCTGGCCCACCCGGCTCTCCGCACCTCTGTGACTCCGAACCCAGGTTTCCCCTCTTCACGGTTTCCGAGCCTGGGTGCCGGGTGGCTTTCCATCTTGTGCCCTCCACGTCCTTGTCCCCCCCGCCCCGACCCCGTTCACTCATCGGGATCTTCCCGAACATTTTCTGTGGGTATCTTGGGATCGTCCCCAGCCCATCCTTTCTCACCCTGAACTTGAGACTAGGTTTTGCGCCAGGACGCAGCCTTGAAAGGTTAAATTAGGCCGAGTGCAGCGGGTGCCGGAGGGCAGTGGGCCGCAGTCCCGCGCGCGTGCGTAGATTCCCGCGTGGTGCGGCTGGGACCCGCTGTGCCGTGCCACTTCTGGGTCACCTGCTGGCTTTTTCCTGCAGGATTTCCTCCCTCTGCTTCGCGGCCTCCCCTGGCTTGCACAGGCCTTCTAAAAAGTGAAGGGAGCGTCTGGCAGACTCAGGAGTGTCCATAAATAAGCCGGGGATGAATAATTGAAGGCGGATACTAACGGTGTTTTGGGTTTTGAAATTTCTAACCTTTTAAATCATCAGTCGTTCAGCAGGCTAGGTCCAGGCAGGCTCTGTTCTTTCTAATTCTTAACTGAAGAGTAAAGTCAGCCAAGATTGGCAACACATGGTGACGTTTGAGAGAGAACACCGGGCAACATCCATGGTGGGAGGTGTGGAGGCCGGTTCCTCTTTTCTTTAAATAAATTGAAATTCCCATCATATTGTCATATTTGAAGTGAAAGAAACCAGTGAAGGAGGGCACAGGCGCTCGGTTACCAGTCCTGGCCTTCATGTGACCTTGACTGGCTCTAGATGGTTCCGGGTGTTGCATTTTCCCAATCTGAAAACGAAGTCTATGATGCAATCTGCAGAGGATTTTCACCTTCGACTTTCCGTGAATCAAGGCTTTTCCAGAATACCGTGGACATGTCTGAAGTGGGAACGGACAGATCAGAGCGCAAAGTCCCTGCAAGAACGCTTGTTACATGCAGAACAATTTCTGGCAAAGAGTTTATTGCTTTTAAATAACTGATTTCCTTTAGAGTTAGAGAAACAAATACAGTTCAAGAAGGGAAAAAAGTCATTGGTGCTGTTAGAGTGCACCAGACACCTGAAAGTACGTGTGCACAAGCAAGTGACATGCAGGCAAACATGCCTTTTTCTTGGGGACTGCAGGAGACCGTGCGTACTTTTAGCCTGGTTGACACCAAGCTTTTTTCTCAGTTTGGCTGAGCAGTGCATGAGTTGATTTCCCAGCTCCCTCCATCAATCCATCCTGCAGGAGCTTCCCAGAAGTCTCCATCACAAAACACATCTCCTTGAAATGATTTGCAAGCAGTTGCCAGGGTCAGTAGGAAATTCCATCTCTGTCTTTTAGGGCAGGAAAAATTACCACCACCCCCCCCCACCCAATGCTGTGCTAGAATGCACTGGTCTAGCAATACATCTCTCTCAATTTCAGTCCATTTTTTTTCTAACCTTCAACTAAAAGTTTTAATCAAAATATGAATGTAAATGTGCACAGCTAGTTCTTTGCATTGAAGTGACTATACAGTATTTAGCCAGTCATTTAAATTAGGAGGAAAATTAATTCGCATATGGAATTATGTCAGTTGAGGTTCCGATTAAAATCTATGGAAGGCTGGAAGGACAGACAAAAGAGGGTAATGGGTTGGAAGGCAATACATATCACAGATTTTTCTCTCATATGTGGAATATATAAACATCTATCCATCTATCTATCATCTATCTATCTATCTATCTATCTATCTATCTATCTATCTATCTATCTACCTACCTACCATGAAAGCAGATAGGAGAGGGGAAAGGAAGGGAACCAGTGGGAAGAGAGGAAGAGAAGAGAAGGTGACAGTGGGATGTGTGCAATGGTCACATCTCTGAAAATGTCCTAATGAAGTTAAAGAAAAGATTAATTTTAAAGAAAGAAAAGAAGGGCTGGAGAAATGGCTCAGCACTTACCACAACTCCAGTTCTAGGGAATCTGACAACCTCTTCTGTCCTTCAAGTGCATTGCATGATACAGGTGCACTTACATACATGCAGGCATAACACTCACACATAAAAACAAAAATAAATAAATGAAAAAAGAAAAGAAAAAAAAAAGCCATGTTAGGAAGACTCCTTCTCTTGTATCTACCCCTTGGTAGGATTTTCCTTTTTCACTTTTTTGGTCATACAAACCTTTAGGCTTGAAGTCTACCCCTGACTGAGGAAACTTCGTTTTAAGGCAGACAGTTGAATTCTTAAAAATAAACATTTCCAGCCGGGTGTGGTGGCACATGCCTTTAATCCCAGCACTTGGGAGGCAGAGGCAGGCAGATCTCTGTGAGTTTGAGGCCAGCCTGGTCTACATAGTGAGTTCCAGAGACCCTGTCTCAAAAAGACAAAATTAAATAAGTAAATAAATAAATAAGTCAATAAACATTTCCACAATGTAATATGCACATAGAATGATTGGCAAGGCAAGGATGCACAGCTCCTGTGTTCATGACAAAGCGTATATCTGCACAGTTCCTCCCAACACAGGACCACTTGCAAGAGAAGAAAGAACTAAGTTCAACTTGTGTTTCCATGTGTTATCTTAGGCCAGAGGGAGCAAAATCATTGGTAACACAATTAAAAAAAAAAAACAAAACAAAAAAACTTGACTGAGGTCTGTGAATGACATTAATTTTGGTCCAATACTGGTTTCTGAAGGGAGAATTGTGTGTTGGTCATAAAGACGGTGACCTTTGGCAATGACACATTCTGGAATGTTCAGGGGTGATGAGGCCTCAAAGATTACTCTGCAGGGCTCAGAAAAGGGATAGCTAGAATGCAAGTAAATAGCTAGAATGGTATTAGTGCAGTAAAATGTCAGTTGTTGAGGGAATATCTAAGTAAAGGGGGACTTGAGTTCCTTCACATTCTTATGTTTGAAG